AGGAAAACTTAACATTAGGACACAGAAAGCTGAATCAAATTGAGGACCTACTTTTCTAGAAGGTGACATCAATTTCCTGGAGTAGAACTTATAAATTTAGATTAAATTTTTAAAAAAATCCTTGGATAGCCTAAAAATCTGTGGTATGCATTGCTTTTTAAATGTGTTCATTTCATACAAGATAGCCCCCTTGACCAAAAATTGATCAATGTTTATTTTGGCTAGTGAACTAGTAGTTAATAATTTGATATGAAATTATTTCACTACTTTTCTCTGGCTCATTGATTGCTGCAAAGTTATATTGGGAATTTTTCATAACTGAAGCCTTCTAACCTTGCTTATCTGGTATGTCAGACATATTAGAGTAATGAGTGGTCAATGATAAGGAGAAAAGCAGAGAGAGAAATAAAAGAGAAAATAGACAGGCATTGTAAAATTTAGGGTTACAGTCTAAGGTCTATCACCAGGTGACTCTGACATCCATTCATTTGTGTGTAAAATGCATGAGATAGATTCAAAAGTCCAAAGTCCAAAATGCTCCAAAATCCACATTTTTTTGAGGGCCAACATGAGGTCACAAGTGGAAAATTCCACATCTGACCTCATGGATTATGTTGCAGTCAAAATGGAGCTACACTAAAATATTTAATAAAATTATCTTCAGTCTACGTACATAAGGTGTTTGTAAAACATAAATAAATTTTGGGCTTAGACTTGGGTCTCATTGTCAAGATGTCTCATTATGTATATGCAAATATTGCAAACTTCAAAAGTCTGAAATCTAAAACATTTCTGGTCTAAAGCATTTCACATAAGGGATATTCACTCCATATTGCTAAGATTCATACAGGTTCTCAAGTAGTGGGCTAATCTGCATAGGGCAACACCTTTTTCTTTTCACTCAAAAACCTTTATTTTAAAATAAAGTGATGAATATATAATCATCACTTCATGTGCCTCAAATGTCATTGATTATAACCTTCATTTCTAGCTGTTATCTTGGGAAGAAAACAAACCCTAACAATGCCTTACCACGGGCATCTCCTATATCTGAAAAGCAAAATGGGTTGGACACATACTCAGAAAGCTGCACCACAGGCTTCAAAAATGAGGTCTGCACATGTCTAAATTGTGGAGCAGACTGGCTGACTTTTGACCTGACTAAGCATTATTTGAAGCAGCTTATTGGCAATGCCAATAACATCGTACGTAAGAGAACACACATCTTGTAACTGAGCCACAAATGGTGCTGTGTGACATAAAGAATCCAGGAAGTACATGCTTAAAATGTAAACAGCTCCAAAGAGCTACTGAAGGATCTGGAGGAAAATACATAGATTGCCTCTTTTATGTGTAAGTGCTATGTTGTGGGATTCATCAATGGCCGCCATCCTGATTTTGCTTTATAAAGTCTCAATAATTTCTCAAGACATTACCTTTAGCAAAAGGCCACATCTATTTCCCTCAATAAAGATTTAGCCTAATATTACTGGATATATTTAGGGAATAGAAATAAATTGTATAAAAGAGAAAGACAGCCATTTAGAATGAGTAGATACCACTCTAAGCTGAAGCTTGCACTGTCCTTTTCAATCCTAGCAGAGAAACAATTAATAAAGGAACCCATTAAGACCTGATTATTGCTGCTAAAAAAGGAAGGTAGAATTTCAGTCCTTTGAAGTAACTGAGAATGATTCAGGCCTCATTACAGAGATATAATCTACATTCATACATTTATGTTAGTGATTCAAATCTATTGGGAGAGATTGAATTCCGTTAAATAGTGCATCTTTCCTGTGGAACTTTTCTCAGGCTAACCTAAGAGGTGACCTAACAATGCGAAGTAGTGAGGTATTTAGGGATTGAACTGTGCTGTGAAAGAAAGGCTGTACAGAAAAGAAAAGAAAGAATGAGATATAATCTAAACAGCTATGTCAGCTTTTCCTTTGGCTGTTTTGTAAATGCCCTTCCTGTCATCACGCTGTACAGAAGAGCAGCGAAAGGGATCTAGAACTTTCAAACACTGCACCTGCTGAAGCCAGATTTTATTGTGGAAGTTTTGAAGAAGTCTCTCCCCCATTTTAGACAGAATACAAATAAAACTTCTAGCTACAAGATATGAACAGCTTCTACTGTACTGGAGCGGAAAGTTGTTAGGGGTGTGTGTGTGTGTGTGTGTGTGAGAGAGAGAGAGAGAGAGAGAGAAAGAGACTGAAACATCTCTGGGTTGGAGGGATGTCTGGTGTGAGTTAAAAAAAAAAAATCTCAAGCTGGCATCAATAGTGTTGGTCCCCAGTGTAGAGAAACCCCAAAATAATAACTTCCTGTGTTTTGTAACTGTTCACAACAGAATCTTTATTGTATGGTTTCATCAAACATAATTTTTAAAAACATGTAGTTTTAATTAGTTGTCAATTCAAACATTTGAATTCTTCTAAACTATTGGGCTGAAACTCAAATCCCTTAGAAACAATGCATTCTTTCAAGCATTTGTCTGCTCAGGTATAAAACTGTGAACTAGGAAATTGAAATTAGCACTGTGGGTTCATTTTTCAATAGCCATGCTTTAATTAAAGAAGCAAGACTTGTTTGACGTATGCTCTTTATTTGCTTAACTTCCAATTAATAGCTACAAAAAATAAGAGCTAATTATATTAAACTTAGAAATCGACTGTGATGTTTACCACATTGTTGAAATCTTTTGAATAAGCATTGCAACGATTTACAAATAACGCAATTAAAATCCTGATTCTGGTATTAAATGGTTCTATTTCAAAGGTTCTGAATGCACAGGAAAATATAAGAGCATGCATGTAAAGCCATTTTTCAAGTCACTATGCAACATTGTTGGGCAATCTTTCCTAATGCCCATCTCTAACGCTACATTTTTAATTTCTTTGTATTTTCTCCAGTTCACAATGAAGATTGAAACCAAATGCACATTGTAGGGATTCTGGCTTGTGTATACAAGCTCTTCTGATTAGTTCCCTCCAAATTACAGTTGCAGTTGTTCAACTTCCAAGTTCACCATTGAAATGTTTCCATCTTAGATTGGCAGCCTATTAGATTGAACCATATGAAATTGCCACTTTTGTAGGTGGAAAGCACTAAAGTACTGGCAAATTCATATGCTTCAACAAAACGCAAATGTCCAAGTGCCTTACATAACAAACCAATATGCTCAATCATTCCTTTCAATCCAACTCTCCCTAGAGTATTTCTTCAAGTGGTCCTCTAGGAGCTGTATCTTACTCAGGTTGGAATGGATTATCACAGTTTTTCCTTCCTGTGTCTTTTCACTCTTGGCAAATCCTTCCTAGCCTTGGACTTAGTTCTAATACCTGGGTTGTGAGCTAGTTTCTGTGAGCAATGGGAGAGTTGGGGAGCGGTGCGTGAGGAGAGGGCAACTGGTAGTGCAGTCGTATTGTAAAATAGAGCCTTTTAAACATTAAATTTGCAGATAGAAAGAAACGCCCCTTTATGGTAAAACGCAAAGGAAATTGCATAGAAAAGAAAACAGACAGCCGGGTTTTCGGCCAAATTGTATGCCAAACTCTTTGCGATCTCAATAAAGTGCGTTCGCTTTGAAGTGCACGCGTGATTCAGTAAAGGACTCATGTTAGCAATTAGAAATCGGTCGTTTACGTCCCTGATTTCATTTGCGCCAAAAGAGAGACGACTTTTAAGGGTGACGATAAATCTCCCTGAGCTTAAAAGCCAGAGAGGGCCAAAGTGTGAACTTTCTACTTCAGTAACGGAAGCGAGAAATCAGTGATTCATTAAAGCGGAGACCTCCTTGGAAGCTGGCAGAAGAGAAGGAAAGGAAGCTAATTATGTCTCCCTTTGCTGTGCTCGCTCCGACCCATTTATAATCTGCAATCTGCTGTTTAGAAGAGTTTTATCCTCAGAATCTTCTGCTTTCTGCCCAGGCAGAAAGCCGGGGGAGGGGGGAGAGAGAGAGAAAGAGAGGGAGAGAGGAGAGAGAGAGAGAGAGGGGGAAAGAGGGAGAGAGGGAGGGGAGAGAGAGAGAGAGAGAGAGAGGGGGCACCAGGCTTCAGGTGGCTCTCAAGTACTTCACTGCCAAAAAAAAAAAAAAAAAAAAAAATCCTGTGTTGGAAAACTAGCGAGAAAGGGGCTCCCCAGAGGGGAGTGGCTGGGACTGGAAGACAGCAAAGTTGGGAAAGCACAGGACAGCTCGCGCCGGTGGCCGCGCTTTGCGAGCGCCGCACGCTTTAACGGCAATTAGCCTGAGCTGGAGGCGGCGGCCACTGCGCCTGCGGCGGCGGCGACCAAGGCACCCGGCAGCCCCCAGCTCCCTGCAAAGGCATCGCGCTCTCCGCTAGCTCCCCTGCTCTCCCCCCTCTCGGCCCCTTCCCCCCTCCCTCTCGCTGGCGTTCCCAGCAGCCGAGGGTTTCAGATGTCCCACCACCGATTGACCCCCTCCCCCCTCTTCTCCACCCCTGCAAATGAGGTTTGACCGGCAGAGGCAGAGCCCACCTCTGGCTTAGAATCACTGACATTTAGATTCCGGGCTTCAACCTGTTTACAAGCGGGCTTTCCAAAAGGAAAGCGGGTGGGAGATAGGGCCAAACAAAACACCAGCCGCCATCCCCCCCCACCCCCCCAAACAAGAAGTGACTTTCTGGAGGCTTCACATCAACAGGCACCACCAAAAAGAGAAAGGAAGAGGGAGAAGAAAACAACTGCGAGCGGGCAGCTGCCTCCAGTTCTGACAACTCCAAAAGGACGCACTTTTAGAAGTGGCCATCAGGCTGGGGCTCTGCAGAGAGGGACCAGAAAGTGTCAACAGCAGAGGGGCGCAGATCTCTCCCCCCCACCCCCACCCCACTCTTTTTGGGTTTTGTTCACCGTGCTGTCATCTGTTTTTTAGACTTCTTTTTTTTCTCTCGCATGTAACATGGTGAAGAAGAGAACAAAGTAACTCCTGGGGGAGCGAAGAGCGCTGGTGACCAACACCACCAGCTCCTACTGCTGCGGCCACCCACGTCCACCATTCACCCGGAGACTGGAGAGGCGAAGGCAGTGGACCGAAGAACGGAGTGAGGAGAGGCAGCCGGCCCTTCCGAGGAGTTATGGATGTTGGTGCATTCACTTCTAGCCAGATCCGCGCCCAGAGGGAGCTAACCAGCAGCCACCACCTCCAGCTGTCTCTTTGCCTTGCACCAGGTCTTACCCTTCCAGTATGTTCCTTCTGATGAGACAATTTCCAGTGCCGAGAGTTTCAGTACAATGTGGAAATGGATACTGACACATTGTGCCTCAGCCTTTCCCCACCTGCCCGGCTGCTGCTGCTGCTTCTTGTTGCTGTTCTTGGTGTCTTCCATCCCTGTCACCTGCCAAGCCCTTGGTCAGGACATGGTGTCACCGGAGGCCACCAACATTTCCTCTTCCTCTTCCTCTTCCTTCTCCTCTCCTTCCAGTGCGGGGAGGCATGTGCGGAGCTACAATCACCTCCAAGGAGACGTCCGCTGGAGAAAGCTATTCTCTTTCACCAAGTACTTTCTCAAGATTGAGAAGAACGGGAAGGTCAGCGGTACCAAGAAGGAGAACTGCCCGTACAGTAAGTAACAAATGCGTGCTCCCCTCCTTCCAATTATCCACCCCCACCCCACACGGGGGGGAAAATCTGTTCCAGATGTGACCAGCTAAATATTTACGTCCCCAACTCCTGTAAAATGATTAAGTGGAATACTTTCACACTAAATCACCCCCCCTTCCGTGTATACATTGTGCCCCTGCATCCCTCCTCCGCCCCCCGCCTCGGAGCAATACCTTCACACGCAATGCCTTCACACCCCCACCCTCTTGCCACCCTCTCCGCCCCTGCTGGCTACTTTTGTCACTCGCCGGACCACGCAGGGCGCCCTAGAGTTGCACCACAGATTCCCTTTTCTGTCTCCAAAGCTTTCCGCGTCTCATCCGAAGGTCCCTTTTCCCTCCCTTCTGGAAATGGCACAAGTAAACACATTTTGTTTCCCTTCGTTGGCAATCTTGAGAGTTTGGGGACAGGCTCCTCAAGCTGAAAATGATTATCCGCTGTCAATTATAAGGGCTTTACGGAAACTTTATTTAAGAAAAAAAGTCACTTCCACCATTACCACCCCCCCCCTTTTCCCCACCACCTCTAGATAGGAGCAAAAGCTTTTTTTTTTTTTTTTCTAGCTTGTTTTTCCCCCTTTTGGGTCCCTCATGTTGGTTTGAGTGATTGCAGTCCATGAAGTTAGCATTGCAGGCACCACTGCTGCTATTCGTCTTCTGCCTGCCTTCTCTCTTGGTAACATGATGCTCATGTCTGCATTGTCAATAGCATATGCGCTGCTTTGTGGTGTCCTGCTGTACTGTTTCTTCTGAAACCTCTCATATTGCAGAGCCATACTACTGCAGCATTGTAAACATCTGGGACTGGATTCACGCAGACCTCACACAAATTTCATTGTCATTCTTTTATTTTCAAAGTAAAAGTCATAAGTCTGTTTCCATGGCTGTAGTTTATCCCATAGAGTGAGGTTTCCTCCTCTGTACAAATTCTGCCCAGGATCCTTGGATTTCTTTCTTTCTTTTTTCCTTTCTCGCTGTCTTTCCTTTTTTCTTTCTTGCAAGGGTGTGGGCTGCATTGGGAGAAGGAGAATGAAGAGAGGAGGGGTGGATAGTGTGTCTATTCTTGAATCAATCCAGCCAAGCCAGAATATTCTGTTGGCTCCCTTTCCTAGTTACTTTCAAGTGGGGAGACTTATTCATCCTCTATTGATTGTTATTTAAAAAGATCCCAAGGCTATGTAATGGCACACTGAAGACAGTAGACAATGACATTTAAATATCTTTAATTACCATTAGCTTTATCTCTTTGTAAAATTCCAAGCCACCTTCCAAGGGAACATTTTTGTTTAGTTATTTAGGAATTCCAAGCATATATTTACCAGCTAACTTAAATACATGAATCTTACATTTCAAGATTCCTTGGTCCAGAAAGTAACAGGTACTAATGAAAATAAAAGTTGACCAGAATTTAACATTTTATGTTTAAATACAGATTTACATGAGTTAAGACTTAATTTTCTTCTTTGGGGACTTACTTAAGATTAACTTCTGTTTCTCCTCATTCTTTGATCCTATTTACTAAAATTAGCAATATGTTTACCAGTAATAAAATTATTCGTGGAAGTATTTTAAAGTGTTCCATTTCAGGTACAGCACTAGAAATATTAAGTATGCTACCATCTATATATTTTTTCATTCTGATTCATCGAAGGTGGCTAAAGTAATGTCAGTAATGGTTTTTTTGCTTGACAGTCATTGACTACCTGTGCTAATTAGCTACTATGTACAGTCTTTATGGTTTGCTGATTAAAGTTTAATATTTTTGTTTACTTTAAAACAAAATAGTGTGGTGACATCCAGTTAAAAGGAGAGAGAAGAACCTGGCCAAACACTGGGCTGGACAGAGTAAGCTATGAATTAAAAAAAAATTCCAATGAACTGAACTTATTTGTATTTTTAGTTCTTGGGGAAAATTCAAAGATACATTGTAAAATTTTATAATGTTGCCTTCAGCTGACACCTTTTTTATATTTTTGATAATAATTTGATTTCACCATTGCTATACTTTAAGTGTCTTTATGATGTGACATAATGACCAACCTGTACTATTTCACTTTATGCAAGTACAATAATGATCACTGTAATTAACTACTTAGTAAAATTATTTCCAGGGAACACACTGAAGTTTATTTTTACAATATAAACTATCTGAAAAGAGAAAAGTATGCAAGTTTTATTGTATAAACAAGTATGACAAATATCCAATCTTGCTGGTCAAAATATACAATATCTCATCCACGTGTTACTATGAATTATTTGATAGTCTTTTATAAAATTATAAGCCAAATATATTATATGGTAATAAAATCTTAAGTCATGGTTAAAAACAAAAGGGGGAGGGGTTTACACTGCTAAATATGGTCAAACCATAACTAATTTAAGCTTTCTAAGAACATGTGTATCAAAACCTAACAAGTGAAAAGTGCAAGTTCAAAAAGCCTTAATTGCACATGTGGCCCAGTAATCAGAATGCTGCTGTAATTGTCAACTGGACTGATTCAACTGAGCTACATGGTATCATTAGGATATTGTCTAAATGTTGCATAATTACATGTGAACAAACTTTTGTCATGCCTACAGGGTAGCCAGCTAGCCAGCCCACCAAATGGTAGCCTGTTAGGATCTCACCTTTGAAGAGTGTTGGTTCCTTGTCTCAAAACCACATTTCAGTAACATTTTCCTAAACAGGTTATTAATATTCTCAATACACAAAACTGGTATTTTCAGGTTTGCTTATTTGGAGATTAATTTTCTTTGTTACTGTTGACCCTAGTATTATTGTTGCTAAAATAGAATAACAGCTTATCTAAAGGGTTATATGTTTGTGATGTCCTGGATAATTAAACTGTTTTACAGGCTTTTTGCCAGCAAAATGCTAGCAAAAGGGAAGTAAGGCAATCACCCATAAGTATTAAGTATTGCAAAATCATTTTTAACTTCTACCTCTGAAGCTACTTCCCAGAATGTGGCCGTTTCTAAAAATGCTACATGTGCTAAAGACTCTTCTCAATTTGGGTGATTATTGTAACTACTTTTTTTTTTTAGGAAGGGTTATAGTTTTTGTTTGCACTTTGCCATTAAATTAGAGTAGAATAAAGAGAGCAGAAATGAATTATGTTTCTCCTGCTAGAAGTCTGAGAAAGCTTGAATAATTTAGAATAGCTGTGGTGTATCTGTCACTAGATATGTGCAGACTCATTTAGGTTTTGTTTTATCATTCCTTACATCTAGAGCTTTGCCCTTGAAACATTACCACTGAGCTCCAGTTCTGGCCTCCTAGAAAGGCTGGATACAGCTGTTAGGTAAGGTACCCTTGCAATTGGACTGGTTGACTTATTTCTGGATGTGAGTAAAACAGCTGTGAGCTTCTCCCATGGTTGTCACTTGAAGAAAAGCGGAATCTAATGAAAGGAAAATGTATCCTCAAACTTGAGACAATTGAAGATGGATATTCCCAAAGAGAATCCCAGACCTTACGGGTCTTTCTGAGAAAGGAGCAAGGGAAACAATGAAGAAATTAGTATGTGCTGAGCATGTGATATGAGCCCCATTTCTTTAAATATATATCTCATTCATACTCATAATAGGTCTTTATTTATATATAATTATCCATATTTTTCAAACATGAAATCTAAGGCTGAAGAAAGTAAATTGTCAACGGTCACTCAACTAGAAACTGATACAAGCCTAAGCCTTTTTGTTTATCTCTCTATACACTATTCTGGTCTGCTACTTTGAACACTAGATTTAGACACCTTAAATCTACTAACAACACATTATCCAAAACCTTACTTGCTTCTCGCAGTGAGCAATAAGACTTTTTATAATTAAATTAGAAAAGAAGTAATATGACAGTGGAACAGAAGCAAAATATGTTAGAGATAATCATTGCAGACAGCCAAGTGGTATCAGCCGATGTTAGTGCACTATCTACACGAAGCCTCTCTCTTGATATTATGTTATGGAATATAATTGCTTATGGACACACACAAAGTACACATACATCAATCTCACTTATGTTAACAGAGGTCATTAGAAATACATGACTGTTTAAGAAAAATCCATGAATGTCATTGTGTATAGTAATTGTTTACAGCTGAGAGCCAAATGCTTAATTGTTCCCACGTGTAATAAAACAATTTGATTGTAAATACCTGTGGGAACTTAGACTATTGCACAAACTTCTAATATATGACTCTAAAAGAGAACAACATCTCAGAGACCTAAAGGTATATATATTAAAAATGCTTTAAAATTAGACTGCAAATCAAAAAGGTACTTTATCACATAAGCCTGACAGATTATTGTCTAGGGTTAAAGGTTTGTATTATTACAGTTTAATCAGGACTACAGCTAATTGTAGGAAGTTGAAAATGAGAAAAATAATTGTTGAAGAAAATAAGGACTCCTCTAGAGTTTTCTGGGAAGAAAACCTATAGACGATTTATAGCTTCCCTGGGTGATATCTTTAAAATTGTGGTTACTTCTTGAATTTGGTTGTATAATTTATAACCGGCAGCATTTAATCATGAGCATAAAGGATTTATGAAGGTAGAGGTACTGCATTTAATGTTTACATGACACTGTCCTATTACCTTTACTGCATTCCTACCATATGGACCCTCCACTTTGATGGCTTTATCATAAATCCATTAAAAATGCACAATTTGAGAGTTTCCTCTTCATAAACCTGATTTATAACCACCCAGTAGAAGAAAACAGTTGGCAGGAATCACATGACAGTATTGGAGGAGAAATATTCAGAGACACCAATCTGTAGATTTTGGGTGTTTCAGTCACTTACTACCCAAAGGTATGGCCTTTCTTTAAAAGTCCATGCTTTCAAAATGAATTTTATTAGTAATAGTAAGAGTAATAGTAGTAGTAATAGTCAACGGAGAAGAAGAAGGAGAAGGAATGTCATAAAATCAAAGAAACTCCACATTTTTTCCACATTATCAC